CCAGTGAAATATATTTATGTTTGTGGTTGTAATGTGACAAAATATGGAAAAGTTCAAGGGGTATGAATACTTTTGCAAACCACTGTATATTGTTCACATAATGTGACATTAATCAGATATTTAACCTTGCATTTTCTCTTCTATCTTCTATAAATATTTCCTGAAATACGGTTTAGTTCTATTGAACAATGATGTGGTTGACCAGGAGCCGTTACCTGCCCAGATAAGTTGAAGTAGGAATGGTTGGTGAGGTTGATGGGGGTGGTTTTGGTGGAGCGGGCTCGGTATTCAGCTGTGAGTGTTTCCCCCTGTCCAAACAGCCCAAATCTGCCTTAGTTCACACATTAAATAAACAACAAATAATGACTAATAAAAATAACTACAGTAGTTTTAAACATTAAAAAACATTCGACCATTCGATTCTTTTGCCCCATTTTTCTCGTCCAGGTCACTTCAGCTTGAGCACACAAGTTTTTGACACCTGCACTGGAGCTTTCTTTTGACTGAAAACAGGTCTAAAACCCACGCCGACAATTAATATTTATTTTAAAAACTGTTTCAGCTCTTCCTGTCTTCATATCAAATGTGTACTCCAGTAGAATAAATCATAAATGTAGGGGTAGCCGCCAAGGCTGGTACAAAACAAGCCGATGTGGATGAAGGTGGTCAGTGAAATAATGTGCAAGGCCAAGAATAGAGTTTTACATATTGCACACGTGAAAATAAGCAGTGACTTTCAAATAACAGCCACACAGAACATGATTGCGTGACTTACTGGTCACAAAAACTCAGAAGTCAGTGAGGCTGCAATCAAAAGTTTGTTTATTTTCTCACTTTACAGAGTCAAGTTTGAGACACCAGCTGCTTTCTGACAGCCTTTGTCCAGTGAAATGCTGCTTTAAGAAAAAATCTTTTTGGTACAATTTATCCACAGCCTTTAGGCAAATCGGAAATTAGCTGAAAAAAACTGAATTGAAATGGAGAAGTGATGTGGAGGATGGTGAAGCAGCTTTTAACTGGGTACTATGACTCAAAAAGTAACATAATCTAAAAAAGGTTTAGACTTTCAAATGTAGTTTTTGATGTCAAATAGCTATAGATAGATCTCGCAGCGATGAGCGAGTTCTACTGATCATCACCCGCAGTGCTACATGTTTGTAGTGTAGGTACAGTTTGTATCTTTCTGACTTTGCTTCCCCACTTTAGAACTTAAACATGTGCCTATGGCTGTGTTTTACCTGTAGAGTGTAGGAGACAGAGACCTGAACCTCACCAGGATAGCCCTGGTCTCCATCTGGACTGGTGAGACTCAGGCTCACACCACCGTCCACCTCTGTAGCGAGCCAGATAGCCTGGACAGAAAGAAAAAAAATAGCTATATGAATTTGGTTCATAGGATTTGGGAACTACATTCCTTCAAGTTAATTATGACAAAGTGGGGGTGGAGTGGTACTAGCATTGAATTAATACAGTATAAAGCTAAACAATGTACAATGGTTCTAGGTTAAGTACCATTTAATAGACATATGGTGACATCTGGTGGTGAGAGAACATCATGCTTCATATTGAGCATATTGTAATAAAGTTCTGTTTTGTGCATTTGTGGAGCCTAATAAACAGTAACAGGAAAACAAATGTTTCCATCAAGAACAAAGCAATTAATTGCCACAAATTCCTAAATTACTCGTTCAAGTTAGCAAAAAAATTAAAGAAACAAATGTCTTCTGTCTTACCTTATTGAAGCCTCGTAGGCCTCCATGTAGTGCATTAGGTCCGTTGTTTATATCAAGTTGGTACTCTTTTCCTTCCACCACAAAGTGTCCCCGAGCAATCCTGTTGGCTACACGGCCCACCACAGCGCCCAGATATCGTTTATCGGACACATACCCTGAAAGCACAAGCTCTAATTACCACAGATCATTGTAATCTCCATTTCCAAAGTGTACTCTTGAAGAATAAATCATCAGTGTGGGTGACTGCCAAGGTGAGTAAACAGGGGGTTGAGGTGCGAACCCAAAGAATGTATGGGTATGTCACGGCCAAAGCTGCAAAGGTATGATTAAGCAAAGATATGTATAAATGAGAAAACTGGATTGTTTTCTGTCTTACCTTCCAGGTCATCATAGCCCAGGACTACATCCTCCATTTTATCATTCTTCCCTTTGTAGTACACAGACCTTATAATGGCACCCAGGGTGAGGACCTCCACCCGCACCATGGAGGACTGAAGGACCCACATGTCCACGCTGCCCACGCCGCTCACTGTTCCCCACTGCTGATGGCTTACCTGAGTCATCTCGGATCTTAAAGCTGTCACAGTAGAGCAGAAACAAAGTATATCTATTTAGTACAGCAGTAGACAACTTTCTGTTTTTACATTGTAATATATATTAAACAAAGCCACAACTTCCTGAACCAAGGCTGTGTACAAATACAGAGAGGTGTACTGTGGGACTTCCAGATCCAGACAAGTAATGGTTAACCAACGACACTGTGATGACTGACAAATTACAAAAGGTGGCAGTGGTGAGCAGATTAAAGGTTAAACTGCTGTAGTAATCAAGCAGCTGTAAAGAAGGAACACAAGAAGCTTGAGTAAAAGCAAGTGCTCCAAAAGTTAACAGAGAAAAGTTGTGGGGAGTTAGGGCCTCCATGATGCCAGTGGTCATCAGGCAGGGTTCAGTAAGTTAAATTTAAGACCTTTTAAAGACCTTTTAAGACCATTAGCAATGACATTTAAGACCAAATTGACGCATTAACAGAAACATTCAAATGGTCCCAGAAATTTTTACATAGAAACCTTTTATTGCTATCAATTTAAGTTATTAAAGAATATTTAATTTTAATACAAGAACACTAAATTATTT